TGAAAATATTAGCCAAAATGATAAGTATGCCACATTCACTCTCATTCACATTTTCACCCATGTCTTTATGCTATTTGCGTCTCTTTCTTGCTTCAATTAATTTCATGGTTCTAAGTTTGCCCATTTGAGAAGACCACCACCTCAACAGATGGCTTGCATGAAGCTGGGAGCTAAGTCTGAAGCTTTTCATCGGGAAGGCCAAACTTGGTAAGGCCTTTATACTTTGATCAACAAACAAAATGGATGCAACTGATGAGCTAGAGATAGCCCACATGGTGTTTGTTAATTTACTTAATGAAATCGATTAAAAGCAATGTGGTCTCAGTCTTTACTCTGTTGGTTTTAGTATTTCAGTAATGTAGAAGCAGCAAGAAAGCAGGGCCCTTTGTTTATATATATGTCTGATAAGTGATAGCTTAGGCCCATTGCTACAAAATGCTTAAATAACCATGATGTCCTGCCTAGGCTACAAGGTTGACAACAGAAATTAGCTAGTGGTGCTAAAGAGAATATGAGGTTTTTTGCAATCTTTTGATGCTATATTAGAAGATTTTAGCTTTTACTTATATGGATCCGATTTGTGTTTTTCTTTCAGGCTTTGCACAACTGGGCTCCCAAGCGATGTTATAATTCAAGTTGGGGAAATGTCTTTCCACCTCCACAAGGTGCATTTTTGTTTGATATGTCTTGACAGTTGAATGCGTGTTTTCTGAGAATAGGGGCATCTTTGTTTTCAATTTAATCTCCACATGGTACATTTTGTTTGAATCTTGAAATAGATTATATTGTTTGCATTTGTAAGTGTGTGCGGGCTGAGAATATATTGTTTTCAATTTCATCTTTGCTTTCGATTTCGGAGTGCTCTATGTACACTTTTTCTAATTTGCTTATTGATTAAACTCTTATTGGCATCAAGCTATGCTCTCATTTTCTTGTCCCCTTCTTCGTTATTGCTGTAGTTTCCCTTGCTTTCTAAAAGTGGACTATTAGAGAGGCTTATTGAAGAGTGTTCTGGTGAGGAAGGATCTGCTTGTTCCTTGCAACTTCATGGCATTCCCGGGGGCGCTAAAGCATTTGAGCTTGTGACCAAATTTTGCTATGGTGTTAAAATAGAACTGACTGCTTTGAATGTAGTCATCCTTAGATGTGCAGCAGAATACCTCCAAATGACTGAAGATTATGAACAAGGAAATCTCATTGCACAAGCAGAGGTTTTTCTTTCTGAAGTCTTCAGCAATTGGAGAGACTCCATAGTAGCTCTCGAAACATGTGAAGAAGTTCAACGATATGCTGAAGATCTCCACATTGCTTCAAGATGCATTGATTCCTTGGCCATGAAAGCTTGTGCAGACCCAAAGTTATTCAGTTGGCCTATAGTAGGAGGAAATGACGACATGAAGAACCCAACAGCCACTATCTTATGGAATGGAATAGTTTCTGATGACGCTAAGCCACAATCTTCCTCTGATGATTGGTGGTATGAAGATGCATCCTTACTTAGCTTATCTCTCTATAAACGATTGATTCAAGCGGTTGAATCGAAAGGAATGAGGCCTGAGAGTATTGCTGCTTCTCTCATATTCTATGCTAGAAAGTATCTCCCCTTAATGAATAGGCAATCAAGCTTTAACGACACAAATTATGTAAACTCAGGCACAACCATTTCTAACATTTCTGAGGCAGACCAGAGGGCTCTACTTGAAGAAATTGTGGGGTTACTTCCTCATCAGAAAGGAGTCACATCCTCAAAGTTTCTGCTTAGGCTGCTACGAACTGCTATGATCTTACATGCAAGTCCATCATGTAGAGAAAATTTGGAGAAAAGGGTAGGTGCTCAGTTGGACCAAGCTGTGCTCGTAGATCTTCTCATACCAAATATGGGTTATTCAGTGGAGACTCTTTATGACATAGACTGCATTCAGAGGATTCTTGATCATTTCATCTCAATAAACCAGGCTTCACTTGCATCAACTTCCCCGTGCATAATTGAGGAGGGGCAATTGATGAGTGGCACTGATCCACTGACACCTATTACTATGGTAGCCAATCTGGTGGATGGATATCTTGCTGAGGTAGCGCCAGATGTCAATTTGAAGTTACCAAAATTTCAGGCACTTGCTGCTCTCATCCCTGAATATGCCAGGCCACTGGATGATGGCATATATCATGCAATTGATGTTTTCTTGAAGGTAAAGCAAACTTAAGTGCATGGCTTATGAACTTACTATATTCATGATATAATGATATTTAGTTTAACCTTTCTTAATGTGAATGGATTCTTTGTTGCTGAAGTTTGACAGATACTTAGACTAGCATTCTGTCAATAGCATTGTAATCTAAAATTTTACAATTTTTTGGGTCCTAATATGCCCAACTAAGACAGCACTAATAATGTGTTGCTAAAACATGCATGCTAATAACATTGCATTTTTCACAACTTCAGGCACATCCTTGGCTTACAGATTCTGAAAGGGAGCAACTCTGCCGACTCATGAACTGCCAGAAGCTCTCACTGGAAGCTAGCACCCATGCAGCTCAGAATGAGAGGTTACCTCTTCGAGTAATTGTTCAAGTCCTCTTCTTTGAACAGCTTCGACTCCGTACATCGATTTCTGGATGGTTTTTTGTTGACAATCTTGAGAACTCACAGAACCCCAGTGGAAACCTTGGCCTCCCTACCAAAAATGATGTCTCTGGTCAAGTGGAACCTGCACAAGACCGGGCCGTAGGTGTTGATCATCATGACATGAGGGAACGTGTTTTAGAGCTTCAAAAGGAGTGTTCAAACATGAAAAAGGAGCTGCAGAAGCTGGTGAAGACCAAGAGAAGTTGGAGCATCCTTCCCAAAAGGCTAGGTTTTAGAAAAAAATGGGAGCCTTGTAGTCCAAAAGAATCAAAGCCCTCTGATAGGATGGCACCAGCACCAGCACCAGCACCATGTTGCAATGGGCAACAAAATCATGATAACAGCTAGTGAAGTGGCTCATTCAACTTCAAAGCCACAAAATCTTTGTATTTAGGTTAAATTAATTCTTGGATTCACAGTTTCTAATTCTTTTGCATGTGTGTCAACTGGATTAAGTGATGTATTGTCTAGAAGATAGGCTTTAATTCAATTTATTTACACCTTGAGCTCTTATTCCCACCTTAACTCAAAATGCCAGTGATGATCAAAGTGTTTGTTCTCAAAGAATCAACAGAAACTGTCCCTAAATATTAAAAGTAAACTCAGAACACTGGAAAGGGTGGGACTGAGTTGTCCTTTTCATTTGCAGTGTACATTTTTTGTTGTGGTAGGGTTTTTGTTTTTGTTTGTTTTTTTTGTAATAATCTAGGAGGGGACATTCGAATTGGGATGTCTTTTAATGTTGAGAAGCTAATTGACGTAGAACAGATGGCTGAGGCGATAGAAGAAGAGTTGGAACGTCACGCGCACAAAGGCAAAACTGGCAAGGTGCAAGTATGGGCCCCAAGCTTCGATATGGGACCATGATCCACCGTTTCGATGGGCATGGCACCACAAGTAAAACTCATCGTTTTGCCATAATGATGAGCTTTTTCGGGTGTTCGAGATCATTCAGAGGCCCAAACGGGCCTTTTAATATTTTCCAATTTTTAGAAACTTTTGTTAATTTCTCTTTTAATTCCCTTTTTGTTTCCTAGGGTTTTTAGGAGTATTTAAACAAACTATAGTTCGTGACTAGGGCATTATGTTATCATTCTGAATTCAATAAACAAGAGGTTTTCTCATATCTAGTGGATTTCAGGCTTGATTCTTTTAGGTTAATCCTAACAATTACTTTACCAATAGCTAGTTGATATTTTTACCGCGAAAGTTAAGTTCGGCATATATGAACATAATAAATCACACGTACATACCGTGTCAAGACAACTCGGCACACATGGCATGTCCCACAGCATGACACGATTTGCACCTATATACTTTGCCAGACCTTTAGAAATCGAATCTCATGATGCATTAGTCAAGAATTGGTGTCATAGATGGAATTTCCTTGAAATTTGCCGTACATGTCGACCTAACTTGCTCAGAGAAACTTTCTGAGAGAGTGAACACTTCTTTCCCTCTTTTTCAATAAATTTTTGGACGTTTTAACAAAACAAATCATAAGGGTTTTAATCAACAACAGATAGGACTGCCAGGATTTCGTCTTCTTATCTCCAATGTTTCAACATCATTTTGATTAAATTTTTCTTTATAGCTTTCACATTGTGTTAAGTTTGAAACCAGTATCAACCTCAAAAAAAACCTTCAAAAATTGACTCATGAAAGCACTTCCAAATTGTACACAGTTATGCCACAGGCCCTTTAGAAGAAAAACTGGGTCCTAAATGCCCCAAAGGCTTTGGCCTTTTACTTTTCCACGTTCATAACATGTGGCCCTCCATAGGCCATACGTCACAAGTCATTGTCCCATTTGTCGGGCAGCAAAGGGCACGCCCTTTTTTCTCAAGATTGGCCCCCTCTCTTCTTCCCATCAACATTACTTGACTCAAAACACCTCTGGTTTGTTGGCCATAGCTGATAGCGCCTAACCTTAACAGAAAAGCATTACTTGAAAAGATGGGTTTTATATGTCTGCAACAAAACTTGATACCCCCCCTCCCTGCTTTCCTGGTTAAGGACACTTACCTTGTTCTAATGGGACCATTTGGTTCTGTGTTTGCAAGCACATGTCAATGGACTCCACTGTCAAGTTTGCCTTGTTTGGGAGGGGGATGGGAAGTGTCATTGGGGTTGGAACATGAGATCACTACTATGCAGACAAATGTTTTTGTCACTAAGCTTTGGCATTTTCAAGCTTCCTTTTCAGCGACCCAATAAATGTGATAAAACACAAGAAAATAAAAACAAAGCATGTGGCAAGAGGCACATATTTGGTTTGGCAACAAAAGGAAAAAAATAAAAGTATAAATTAGTTAATATAAGGGAAGGTTCACAAGCCTCTAGTGCTTAGTTACTTACAAATTAAGAAGGGGAAGGAAATTTCCACAGAAGGGAATATTGAAACTTCACATAGTGGGGTCAATTGCAATAATTTACACAAGGAAAAAAAAAGAAAAGGAAAAAAAAAATCCCCATATCAGAAATTTAGAGTTCTACAAATTAGCTTCTTCAACTTCCAAAATTCCAACAAGCTTAGTGTGTCTGAATGCTGCAAGCCCATGATCACCTAGAGATATCATATTCTTGTGTGTAGCCAAGCTGCTCCATCTCCCAATTCAACTTTGAAGCAACTCTTTCATGACATGGGACATAATCCTACATCAGCAAAATGAACTAAACATCAGAAGAAGTTTTCAACCAACAAATTAGTTATCAATGAACAAAAGTTGAGGTTGAATGCGCTAATTATGTATTTGACTAAATTACATCAAATCATTAAACAATGCTTTAGATAATTACCTCCAATTTCTTCACCAACTCCCTTGCTGTTGGTGCTGATATAATTATGTGGCGTGCACTGGGGCTAATAAATCCCTCTTCCACAGCTTTATCAATAAATGATAGCAAGGAGTTGTAGTATCCATCAACATTCAGCAATCCCACCTACAGACAAAAAAATAAAAAAAATGGTTTAAGCCTAAATGTTCACGTGTTTACCATCAACATGGGTTTTTTTATATATATAAGAGAAATACGATAAATTGCATTTATAATGCATAAAAATGAATTACCGGTTTATCATGAATTCCAAGTTGAGCCCATGTTATCACTTCAAGTAACTCTTCCAGAGTTCCATAACCACCTGAAAGAAAAATTAAATTGGTACTTACAATCTAGATTTACGGTCCAAGCAGCTTCATATGAGATAATATTTGGAATCATTCAAATTATGCTTATGTACAATATGTTGCACTATTTAAGATGCCTACAAAAGAGAGAGGCAAAACAAGACAACTAGTTCTCGTACCAGACTATAGACAAGGATTATGCTGTTAATAATTATTTCTCTGATCCATTCAAAAGAAGGGTAAAAAGACTGAAAAGACTGTCTACTCCATCTGCTCATTTGAACCTTGGTGCAATATACTTTGACCATTTCAACCTTGCAACGCACTTTGACCGCGGACTATGAATAGTTCACACTTTTACTATCAGATCCGTTTTGATGCTAATGGTCATGTTACATGCAGCTATTATGATTTACATGACCATGTATTTCCACCAGCTTTTTTTTTTTTTTTTGCCAACCCAAGCACGCAATAATAAATCGAATTTTAAATTTCGAATACAAAGATAAATGCTCTTAACTACTTAAATTATCCTTACCAATAAAACTCTGGATGTTAATGAATGAAGTTTTTGAAAGTGGTAAGCATCATTCCCTGTCAGCCTGGGGTGCTAGTTGGCAAAACCTATTTAGTGAAAGTGTTTTTATGTTATCTTTTCTCCATAAGGCAAGAAACAATTCATGCAGCAACATTACAGGCTACAGACTATTTTTAGCAAAAGGAGATATTAACCACAGATGCAGGGTTCCTCAGAAGCTCTAATTTTCAGTGTAAGATGTTGATGGGTCATGGACTTTGAGGTTTGAAGGGTTGCTCTCTAATCATGTGTCTTGGGTTTTGGGACACAAGTTTGAGAAAGTTGTGTGTGATGATTTAGAATTCACACAATCACAATCACAGCATTATCAAATACTAGTGCATTTAAAGCATGAAAAGACAACAGCCACAAGAGTAAAATATAAAATATAAAGATAGTTTGACTTATTATTGCCAAATCCTTCTTCACTCCCTTTCTGCATTGCCTCCAAGCTTCAATTTTTTGTCATGTACTCAGTTCAAGAACGATCAAGAACATCCATCAAGACATCAAATCAAGAATTCTAAGTCTAATTAATAAAAGAATTAGGGTGGTTAATTAGTCATAATGCCCTCTCTTGTGGTTTGTAGTTTTGTTGTGTCATTGACTGCTGTTCCATATATTTCCAAATTAGTTTATTGGGTTTTGGAGAGATTATGGTCTAATACTGGAAGGGGTCACAAGAATAAAAAAAAGGGGACTTGCAAGCTAAAATTAGTACAAATTAAAGCCATGAAGGACCATATGTTCTTTGTTTTGTTTAAGAATTCTGGTATAAGTGAAAGTATGCAGGCAGGCAAAGAGAGAGAGAGAGAGAGGGGGAGAGAGAGACAGATAGAGTTGTTCGGGGCTTATACTAACCGGGTAAGGCAATAAAGGCATCCGAATGCTTAGCCATCTCTGCCTTCCTTTGGTGCATGCCTGCAACTGCCTTCACTTCCCCCACTGTTTCACCAGTTAACTGCAAAATGGTATCAATGCACGGAAAAAAGATTTAAGAAATTGATGTTAAGAGAGACAGAGAGACAGAGAGACAGAGAGATTTGGAGCTTTGTGCAGCAAAGCAATGATGAGTGTTGCCGAAATGATGAGCTTAATACAATTTCCTTTTTTTGGGAAGAAGTTAATGCAAAATCCGGCTATTCCCTAGCCAGTAAATTTAGTGGTCACCAGATGGCAAAATCAACAAAGTTCGATCAATAGAAAAGGCCAAGGCAGAAAAGCACAAGAAGAAAATTACTTTAAAGCTCAAGTGACCACATAAATCTGATACAAGGAAAAAGAAATCAGAAAAACCAGCGGAGACTCAAAAATGTACAATACTAGTGGGGTAGTTCAAGTACTCGAGTGTGCTATGGATAAGTCTCCCCAGCATCCATTGAAGAAACAGAAATGAAGGGAACCAAACAGAGAATAACAGAAGATAAAAATAAAAATAAAAGCAAGAAAACAAAATAAAGAAAGAAAAGCAGCTAAAAGTGCTCACATCATCCCCCCACCCAAAAAAGAAGAGAAAAAGAACAAAGAAAGAAAGAAATTGATGTAGGAAAGAACTGAACATGAATCTAATAACCAATAAATTCTGATACATATATATATATGTATAATATAATAAACCATGTATAAATTTCTATTCTTTACAATTGGAAAAGTTGAAGCACTTTATCTGGCTATAGGAAACATACCTCTCGAGGCATGAGCGTCTTGGGAATAACTCTGCAGAGAGACAATACCATGACAAAATCAGTTGTTTTTTAGAGCAAAACCAACCATAACAATTGTCCGAACTCACTTATTGTTTCTTAATCTTTTTGTTTGTTTTGTGATTTCATTTGTTTATCATCTGAGATTTGATAAGGAGTAAAAAGAATACCCAATAACATGCCGACCACCATCATGAACAGCTTGTGAAACCAAACCCATTAGGCCTATGCTGCCTCCTCCATAGACCAGATCAATGTTCCTCGAAACCTTCAAGACATTAGCAAAACAAATTGTACTTTTCAAGAACCCATCTGGAAAAAATAGTGCACTTTTGAGTACATCTAATAAATTGAGAATGGAAGGATTCTTCAATGCTCATACAACAAATTTGTACGTTTAGTACACTAGGTTCATATCTTTTTATTCGGGAGGAGAGGTGCAAATGCCAAAACAACAAAGCGTTGAAGTGATTGAGTTGGTCAGTTCGGAATTATGACAGACTGAAAGTTGAAAACTTAAACACATGTAATGCAAAAGTGGCATCATTTTCCATCTCTAAATGGGCTTATTTAGTGTTGATGAGTTTTCTGATAATGACAGAGAGAGAAGAGCATTTACCAAAGAAGAGAGAGAGAGAGAGAGAGAGAGAGAGAGAGAGAGAGAGCAACATTTGCATGCCTTCTGCTAGAGACAAACTTAATTAGGAAGAAAGTTCCAGTTTGAAGAAATCAAATCCTAATTAAAAAAAATGAAGAAAAAAAATCTCAGGAACCAAGTGACAAACAAGTTATAATCATAATGTGCTTGCCCCCAAAAACTAGAACAAGAACAACATGATATGTTACAAACATGAACAAGATGATCAAGTTTGAGCAACTTCCAACTAATTCCTACCAAAACCCATCTGACATAAACAAGAAACAAAAGCAAAAAGATGGTCAAAAGTAATCTCCAACAAAACCAAATGGGATAAAACTTGAACTTTTGATCTTTTTTAAAAGAACCCAAGTATGAAAAACCTCAGGAGAAAACTGTGTATTTGAAATTTGAAAAAGCCATTGTATACCAGTTCCTTGCCAAGCTCAATGGCAGCATCTTGGTAGCTACTCTTCTTGCCTTGGCTACTCCCACAAAACACACAAATCCTCCCAAACCTTGACTGCTTCATTTCACTCTCAATCTCCATTTCTCTCAAATCACTCAACTGTTTTGTTGCTTACAAAATCAAATTAAAATCCCTCTGCAACACAAAGAGATTCCCTTTTTTTTTTCTAAGTCCTCTGTCTCTTTGCTTCTAACCTTTTGTGTTACAGAAAAATTCAAGTAGACAAACGCTTTATAGCTTGCCCACTAGAAAACTTCTATGGTGGTGCCGTTCTCCACATGCGTATTTATAAGCCGCTCACACGTGAGAACCTCTTAGCACGCTTGCACACGCAAACATTCACACGCTTGCACACCCACACACAACACAACACAAGTGCATAAACACAGGCATTGGCACGCGTGGACCACTCTGTTTTATTTGTTTCGTTCCCTTCCCTTGATTTTTCATTTTTTATTCATTTTTTAGTCCTCCCTTACTGCTTTTTATGAGCATAAATAAAGATAAGCTTTCCGTTTATGTATTATCCCAATAATATTACTGTATTTTCCTGTCTTTCCATTTGTTGGTTTTCAAAACAACATGTCCATCTTTTGTGAAGTGCGAATAACTTGAGGGAAGGCTTAATATATTGGTACATACTTCATTCTTAAAAATAAGTTATTCTCACGCTCAAAATTAGAGTTCGATTCTTGCATTTCCTTCTTCATAGATTAAGAAGTTTGAGATTTCATATTCAAACATAGGTTAGGTTGCGGAGGCTTGTTACTTAATATAATAGATACCCTTTATAGTCACAACAAGAGTTTGATACTTGCGCTGTTTTTTTTTTCCCCTTACAAGGTGGTGAGAGGAAAATTAAACATAAGACTTCAGATGCAAAGGTAATTGCTCTTAACTATTTGAGCTACAAATCCCTTGTATTCTTACGCTTGTTTAAATCAAACGGACTATGGATATTTCATGGAAGAACAAAATGAAGTCAATAACTAGCTAGAGCAAGCCAAGTAGCGCAATATAGTCTTCGAGTTTGAGTATTAGACATGTACTTGATGGTGAAGATTGAGCTGAATTTCAAGTATAAAGCTCATGTACAACTCAATGGTTGAATATTTTGTTGGCGTGACTTGTGGATCCGCAGTTACTTTCTTTACACGCCAAAGATTCCTAAATTAAATGTAATTTATTTATTTTAATTCATGATTTCATACTATAAATATAATTAGGAGTTATTACTTTCCTTGACCTATAAGGTTTATTTTATTATAAATACAACATCCTACAAGGAGAAGAATACACAGAAAATTCCCACAAACAATATTTTTTCATAAGTTTCATATTTTAGCATGGTATCAGAGCAACGATCTTAGAATTGTTGACTCTTGTTTCTAAAACATCACCGCCATCATGGGGGATGAAGATATTTTGCTCCACCATGCAGGGAGCACCACCGATTTCGTTTCTCCTTCTCAACTGAACTTTGCCGCACTAGCCGCTCGAATGACCTAGTTCTTAAAGATACAAAACCAGAACGAGAATCTGAACCCGAACTCGACCCTGAACCCGAACCCTAACCTGACCCCAAACATAATTGACACACAGATCTTGAACTAGACACTGACTGTTACCTATGAAGTTTTCAATGCCTCGATTGGCATCAAGTTGGATGGCTTTAACTACCCTCTTTGGTCCCAAGTTGTTGAGATATACGTCGCCGACAAAGACAAGTTGGGATACCTCACAAGGGAACTTCCACCACATACTCCGACTGACCCGAGTTTCCACCATTGGCACACTGAGAATGTCGTTGTTAAAGACTGGCTAATCAATTCTTTGGAGCCTCGCTTGATTAGTACCTTTATTCGCTTTCCAATTGCAAAAGCAGTATGAGATGTGATTGCTAAGATATACTTTTATGGCACCAGCGCCTCTCAAGTATACAATCTTAAACGGCGCACTCACCGAATGTGACAAGCAGGTGGCTTAATTGAAACATACTATAACGATCTCCAAAGCTTATGGCAAGAAATCAACTTCCGTCGTTCGAATTGGATGAAGTGTGATTCCGATATCAAGGAGCACAATGTCAATCTCCAAGAAGACCATGTGTTATATCTTCTTGGATAGCTTGGATGATCAACTTGATAAGGCTCACATCTGGGTAGGGAGTGTAACAAATAGAAGATCCACATCTGGTTACTTTACATTCGTGTGAGGTAATTTAGTGACATGAAGGAGCAAGAAACAGAAGGTAGTAGCTTTATCTAGTGCAGAAGCCGAGTTCAAATGTATGATTAAAGGAATTTGCGAACTCCTTTGGCTACGTAGGTTGCTTACTGAACTTGGGTATATACCTATATCTGCATTGAATTCAGTTCAACATGATCACACCAAACATGTTTAGGTAGATTGACACTATATCAAACAAAAGCTCGAATACAAAAAAAATTCTAACAAACAATATTCTCTGATAAGTTTCATATTTTATATATTTGGCATCAACAATATTGACTTTGCCCGAGTTTTCAAGATGATGTGAATTGTATGATAATGATTTAATATTTGGGATGAATAAGCTCCACTTGTCTAGCCATAGCCCATTCTGTATATTTTATATGCAAGTTTAAGAAATGAGACAAACATCCATTTTTTAACCTTTGAAGGAAAATGCCAAAAATGGACAATCCCACAAGGGTAGATACATTTATAAAGATGGGCTTCACTGACTAGTTAATTGTATTTTTATGACATTCTAACATTTACATATTAATGTGAGGAAACAGAGCAAGTATGGGTAATTTCAGAAGACACGAACACACGGAGACTGAGTGAGAGATGGTGGGTGATATGGAGCATTGTGCATAGATGATTGAATAAAAACATTAGTGGGTTATGACCTATCACCTTGTGCCCCCATCAACCCTCCTTTCCTCGACACTCCTGTTGTATGCATAGGAAACATTTCATTTTTATTTCAGGCCCTCCTTCTCCCTTCCCCATATCCACCATTACCTCACTTCTCCAAGCATGCTGTCCCCAACTCTCATCTACACATCACTAAATTCATTGCCCTCTTCTCCACCAATAACATCTCCTCCTTCAAAAACCCATATGTTTATGTTTCAATCTAGATCAATCAGGAAACATATGATGTGTTATATTGTCAAACTACGAATCTCTATTATTTATCATGTTAATTTCAGCCAAAATGTGTAATTTGTCAGATTGTGAATCTGGATCATTAATCATTTTAATTTTTTATATATTAAAATATACAGTTAAGATTCACAATTGGACAACACAAGCATCATATACGAGACAACATATTCATTTTACTTTGTGGGCTGCTAAATAGACTTAGCATTAACTTAACCTTATATCTTTAGTGCTGTGTTCATTGCCAGGATTGCAGGAACTGAACACATGCCCTTAAACTAATGTTTAGTATCACATTCATTTTAAAATGCCCCAATCCCCAAAATTGGCCTTTCTGGCTGTTTCTCTTTAACGCTCTCTGTCTCTGTTGTCTGTCTACTTAATTCTTTGCCCACCTCCCTATAACTCCCTATGTTTGGAGATTATAAACTCATAATTACTATTCTTAGTAGGGATTGAGCTTATACTAATATACTATTTATGACCCTTGTGCATGCTTGCATGCGCGTTTAAATCATGTTTTTATGTGTTTCTTAGCCAAAAAAATTGACAGAAACAGAACAGAATGATTTGATTAAGTTTAAAATATCACACACCCACATACAAAACATACACGCACTATGTCATTAGTGCTAATGATACCCTTTTTTAAGACTATCCAGTGTTCTCCAACTGTTACTTGGATTAGATCCCATTGCTATTAGTAGAAGGAATATTCTTAAGTAGGTTAATTTGCCTCCAAGGTGATATCATAATTAGGTTAATATTCCATACATAATACATAAATTTATGGTTGTGGAAAATTGGCAATGCTCTGTAAAATGTGGGAGGGAGAAAAACTTGGTTGCAACAGAGATATCATTATTTTGTTATTCCTGTTTCATGCAAGTGTTTCTCATGAGAGGGGAACAAAAACATAGAAATAAAATTTGTATGCCTTGAATTTCTTTGACTGCCTTATAGACTCTTAACAAAACCTGACCTATCTCTTTATTACCTTCATTTCCCAATACTGACTTGAATCTTATTTGTTTTCTGTAAACTCCCATATCTTGCTAGATGTAGATTTCAGACATGTTATAGCAGTTGTTGGTTGCTTCACTCTGCCCCTATTTATTATGTACATTTCATGTAACCTTCCCTAATTCAAGAATATTATACAATATCTCAAAAAATTGAGATCTTTTCTTTAATTTAGACCCCATACGTGATCGTATTATATATGACGCAAGGCTGATTTGGACTTCTACTCATCAACGCTTGTTCCTATATTACACTTTTATACTCAAGAAGCACTTTTGAGTTTTTGGGTCAAATACTATCAGAATTGCTTTTAACATTTCTAGAAGCAGTGTCAAAACATACACATTTTCACATTTTCAATTTGTTATTTGACTACTGACAAACTAAAATGGCATACGGACTTGGGGAGCTGCCATCATGCTCTGCATCAAAATTCACCTTATACTGCAATGCATAATCAGAAGCACTCATGTTTGGTGGTAAAAGCCTGCCCACCACATTGTCCTGTGCTATAATTGCAAAATTTCCCTTGCTCGACACGTGTCGCCACGGCATTGGATGACTGTAGCAAACTTTAGCTTTGCTCACTGAATATGTGTTGAAGAATCACACAAAAAGCAGCAGAGTTGCCCTGCAGCTTCAATAGTGTTCACTCTACTTAGGCTCACGGCCCCAAACAAGAAGTGACATTTGTCCCTATCACATGACTCATGCCAATCCACCAAATGCTTTGCTCCTTCTCAAAATTTTTGGATGAAACCCTCTTCTCTGTGTCTTTTTCTTGTATGGTCTCTCAAAGTTGAAGCACAACAAGAGACCGCCTTTTACTTTGTCTGTCCAAAAATAAAGCTAACAATTTCTAATGGGGGCATCTCAACATAAAAGATGCTGGCGGGTTTGATAGTAAAATTCGGTTCTTTTTGACTTCTTGTTTCAAGACCAATTCGCACAACTTTTAAGTCTTTACTTAACCACCAATGGAGTTTAATCAAAGTGATTATTGGTAATAGTTTTGCTAATTGTCATGATAGACTTTATAAGACAGCAAAAGCTAAAAAGTTTGAGATACCAAA